ACGAATTCGTGCACCAGTGGGGTCCCACGGCCTGGCCTGCGGGATCGGGCCGAACTGGCTCTCCGACATCCCTGAGGGGTCCCAGATTGTAAGAGGGCAAAGGCCAGGCCGAGGGACCCCACCGGTGCACAATCAGAGCCAGGAAGGGGTGTGGGAGCTTGCAAGCCAGAAAGGGACCGGGGGAGGCCTCCAGGGCATGTCCGGCCTATCTCACTCAGTCCCGACCGGCCAGACCCCAGCAGCAAACTAACCTACAGGTCAGAGCATCTGCCCTCTGGTGGTCAGTGCAAATCATGTCAACTGGTCGACTGTCCCCTCGTGGTCAGTGTATGTTGTATCAACCAGTCAACCAGTCAATTGTCTGCCCCCTAGTGGTCAGTGCACATCACAGCGAGCAGTTGAGCGGCCTTAGCATATCAATAGCATGTTACACTTTGATTGGTTGAACGGACGACCGGACACTTAGCATATTAGGCTTTTATTATATAGGATATGCTGAGTGTTTGAAGACAGAATCAATGCCATGCTGATGTCTAAGAAGAACTCATAAGAGCTCACCCTTACACCATTTTTCCCATAATAAATAGCAACAGAAACGTAATATGAAATTTAAATAAAGATGTATAGAGATACACAGATATAGATATAGATCCTATCAAAGATGAAGGTCTACGCTTTTTAAAAATGCCATAAAGGGCACAGGGCTGTGAATCACTTTCCCCGGGAAATAGGTGAAATCCAGTCATATGTGACAGGAATAAACCAGATAGCATCAAGGCTCTTTTAAATGTTTGTATATATCCTTTAAAAATAGAGAAAAAAAATATTCTCAAATTTCAGCAGCTTTATTTTTATTTTTTAAGGGAACTTAATATTTTAAAAGATTTAAAAACACATGGAAAACCCTCAAAACCAAAAAAAATTACTTACCAAGTTGGCCATATAAATTGTGAGCAGCCCTCTCCTGAAAATAATTTTAAAAAGAGATTAAGAATTAATTTGACTTAATAATCACTTTATCATTTTTGAAAAATATATCAAAATAATAATCAGGAGTTCAGAAAAAGGGGTAGATTATGCTGAGCTAAGTTTTCAATACCCCAATAATTGGATCTAAATAGATTCTACAAGTCATTCTGTTTAATGTTTATTAATTTAAATTCTTTAAAATTTCAATTGCCTAGTAATTGTTAAATAAGCTTATTGTGGAGATCATTTCAAAGTATATAGCAATATCAAATCATTATATTGTATACCTGAAACTAATACATGGCTATAGGTCAGTGATGGCGAACCTTTTGAGCTCGGCGTGTCAGCATTTTGAAAAACCCTAACTTAACTCTGGTGCCATGTCACATATAGAAATTTTTTGTGAATGAATCAAAATTATACCTTTTGTCAGACTGATGAAAAATATATGTTTTGGTATGCTGCAGAATTTTAGTAATTAGTTGTAAATCGCTGTTCTACAGTATACTAGAGAATTCTAAATTTAATAAAGAATCCTAATGAATTCATCTTACCCAAAAGTCAAAGCCAAAACAATTCTAACTTAGTGCAAATTTATTCAAAAAAATCAGGACTTCTATTTGTTTCACACAAAATACAATTGTTCATTAGATATGATTACAAATCATACTAAGTCACCTTGGTTCTACCTTCACTGTTAAGTGAGAAGTCAGGCACTAAGTAAACTTTCTAATGCCAAAGTACAAACAAAAGTTCAAAAACACTCTACAAAAAAATGCATATTTACCAAGTTTACTTAATAAGAATTCAGCTAGAAACTCAAAAATAGGGACAATTCTATGCCTTTAGTTACTTTATTTAACTTATCTTGCATGAGACCATGAATGAAACATCCTATTCTCTAGGAAATAGGTGTTTTAAGAGTTTAAGGGCAGAGTTCAAATAACAAACTCTGAAACTTACATGAGTTTCAATTATAAACATATTTAGTATTAAAAAAAAAAAAACAACTTTGTATATAAAACAAGTACCAATTGTCCAGGTCTTGATATTAACATTGTCAATGAAACCCTCTTGATGTCAGATCCAGTCACACAGAGTCTTGATAGTTCATTATTTAAAATGGCTTAATAAGATTTTTATTTTTACTAAAGCCACATAGAGGCAATATGATTTAAGTGAACAACATTGAAATGAAGTTGGGAAATCAGGGTTCCAGTTAACTTTAATTCTCCAGTACTCTGTCATTAAAATAGGGAATAAGACTAGTTTTCTAATTTAGATTTTTAAATATAAAAACTATTTAAAGAAAAAAAACTTTCATATATCACCAATATATAAACATCATATTGGACCTACTCTGGTTGACAGGGCATAGCCACTGAGCCACAACCCTCTCCCAGCCCACCCCAATGTCCCTCTGCAGTAGGTCCTAAAGCACCTCAGCAGAACAACTGAATCATACTGCTCCTCTACAAAGAATTTAAAAATCACTGATAAGATGACCTATAAGGTCCCTTTTAGCTCTTCTTTTCTATGATTTGTACATATGACTTGAAATATTTGCTACTAGTCTTTACCAATCTTACCAACTCCTACCAAAAATTCCTACCAAAAATTCTAAATCAAAGATGTTCTAATAATATTTATTTTAAATAAATTATATAAAGAAAAATTAGGGTGACATCAATATCTAAGAGTCACACACAAGCAGAAAAGTTAAATCCTTCTCTTTAGTAAGAGTAGTGATATCCACTCTTACGAAAAGAATTATATACGAATAAGATAATATTCTTAATTATAAAACCAAAATAAAAATATTTCTGTAATTTCAGTGGCAGTGCCTGATAATTCATGTCCTCATTAAGTGAACTAATGTCTGATGCTATCTGTAAAAACATTTATTCCACTAATCTAATTCTGTCTCTAATACTCAATCCAGATACAGTATCAACCACTAGCTTCCATCTATCTGATAATATAATTGTTCATCTTTATCGGACATATATTATCTTGTTTACCTTTACATTTTCACAACCTTCAACATTTTCACTTGGCATCTAATGGGCACTAAACAAATAGTATGAAATTACTAAACAAGATGTTACTAGGAACCCAGCCTTATAAAGAGGAACACATTATAGACAGACTAGTGGCCCGGTGCACGAAATTTGTGCACGGGGGAGGGTATGTTCCTCAGCCTGGCCTGCATCCTTTCCAATTTGGGACCCCTCGAAGGATGTCCTACTGCCAGTTTACAGGGATCGGGCCTAAACTGGCAGTCAGACATCCCTCTTGCAATCCAGGACTGCTGGCTCCTAACCACTCACCTGCCTGCCTGCCTGCCTGATTGCCTCTAACCACTCTGCCTGCCGGTCTGCTTGCTCCCAACTGTGC